TGGGTAGGGGGGAAAAAAAAAAAGCATCCACTTAGCAACGCCTTTTGTGCCTAGCGGGCTTCGGTAGGCGGCTCGGCCAATGGCAGCAGGGCGAGGGGGGGGAGCAGGTGGCGGGGGGTCTCCGCGCATCCCTCGGGGAAAGTTTTCCGTCCCCGCCCCGCGGTCCCGAGAGCGGCGGAGCGGCGCTGTTTGGCGCGGCGCGGTGCAGTGCGATGCGGAGGCACTGCTGGTTGAGGCGGGTGGAAGCCCCCAGCACAGCCCCGCGGGACCCCTGAGCCCCTGCGGAGCTTCCCTGATCCCCCGCTGCTCCGCGGGGCTCCTCGCACGCTCATCGCGGCGGGAGGATGGAGGGTTTATCCTGCATCGGTCCGGTCGGTTATCCCGCGACATCATTTCGTAGATGACCCGAGGAGTGCAGTCTTCGGCGTAGTCTAGAAAGCAACGTCAGACCATTTCATTAACAACAACAAAAGTCTCCACGACGCAGTTGGAAAGTAGTTTACTTTGGTTATTTCTCTAATTTGTAAACAAGCTGGCAAGTGTCTGGTCTGTTTCCTCAAAGAGATTTGTGTTTGTTTGTTTGTTTGTTTGTTTTTTTAATAAATTATTATTATTTTTAATAATAATAAGTTTATTTACAGATTCGAAGTTCCATTTACTGTGAGTTATTGAACATGCAATGAGAAATGAGTGCAGGACAGAATGCAGGTGGTTATTCCTGCTACTGGCTGCATAGCAGAACAGCATTTCATGCTATCAATTGCGTGATATACTTCCTGACATTCTGATACATTTTTGTGTTTGTGAAGAAAAAAGCTTCTACTTTGATGGCATGTGTATCTTTCAATACTTAACAATTCTGTTTAGGCATAGAGGAAAAGAAGTCTGCCAGCAGCTTGCTGAACAGAGCTGTCTGTAGTGTCCTCTGCGCTGGTTTCATAAGCATGAGAAGTTCATTTGTGTACCAATATGCTTTTTCCTCTCATTTCAATGTTATGTGAATATCATAATAACTCTCTCTAAGCAAATGCAAAGTTTAATGTCTGATGTCTGAAAACTTTATAATCACCAGTAGCTGTAAATTATGAAAGATTAAAGAAATGTTTATTCTAGTGTAAATCTGAAGTTATGTACTTCATATAGCATAAATGCTTGTAAAAATACAAACAGTGTTTCTACAAATGAGCTGTTTGGCATTTTGAAGGCTCATACATTTATGCATATTAATTCATATCCAAGTATTTTTCAAGTCTGGAGAAGGCTGCAGGGAGACATCATTACAGCCTTCCAATATTTAAAGGGAGATTGTAAACAGGAGAGAAATCAACTTTTTAAACAGGTGGCTAAGGATAGCACAAGGTGGAATGTATTTAAATTGAAGGAGGAAAGGTTTAGATTAGGTGCTGGGGAAGTTTTTCACTCAGAGGGTGGTGAGGCATTGCCCAGAGAAGCTGTGGGTGCCCTGATCCTGGAGGTGCTGAAGGCCATGCTGGATGAGGCCCTAGACAACTTGATCTAGTATTTGATCTAGCAGTTGGCAACCCTGCCTATGGCAGGAGGGTTGGAATGTGATGATCCTTGAGGTCCTTCCAACCCAAGGCATTCTATGACTCTATGAAATGGACTGTGCAGTACACAAACCGTAACAACTACAGAAATTGTGTTCTTCAAAGCTTTTTTCATATGTATAGCAGGTATTTCAGAAACATCAGGTGCTAGTGAATGTGTTTTTCACTGCTCAATGCATTTCCTGAGACTAGCACTGTCAAAACTTGGTTACCGCAAAATGTTCTGGCAATTCCTAGAATGTTTAGACTCTTGTTGCAACAGCTGAGGACACAGCACCGAGTACTATTTGAACACTCATTTAGCTTTCACAGGGACCTAAATTAGTATGATTATCTCATGAATATAGGCTTGCTAGCAAAATAAATAAATAAATATGTACATCTTTTCATTGTAATGAAGGCTACTGGTCCCTACTTCCAAACTTCATGATGTGAGCATATTTACTGTTCTTGTGACATTAACAACTCTGTTCCCAAAATTCTGTCATGCACCACCAACTAATAATTAAGCAGTCTGTTTATCTTTGAGACATATTCATAACTCTGACAGAAGCTAACAGGAGATAAATATGCAGAAGGATGAAGGAAGTGCCTTGACCAGAAATTGGCTTTGAAGAGAATGAGTACTGCATTGAAAGCCTGAGACCTAAACTGTTCTATTTCTGAACTCTTCTACAGACTCTCTTTGCACACAAGGATGTATCACACAGTTCATGAGTGAAATCTTTAAGGTTACTGTCAGTGTTGCCATTGAAGACAGTACAATCAACATTTCACACATGGATCAGCTTGCAACTCACTGACTTATATAGCGTGAATTTTGTACTTTCTTACATTATTTGCCTTTTGTACTCAAGAACTTTGTTTTAGTGGAGAGAGTACTGTCTTATTGCGGTTACCACTGTAGTACTGATAGGTACAAATATAAGGGAAAGCTCAAAGAGGTACTCTACAGTGAAAACCATGCATTCCACATGTGAAAAATTTGTGAGGACTGAGGTTTTCAGATAGATGTCTGAAGACAAGTACCCAGCTGATGTGGCGCCTCTCATACATATGAGTTATAAACAAAACATAAGATATCTGAATACATAACCAGACATGGAAGGCTACCGAGACACTGGAGCATATACACAGCAGAGAGAACTGAAGCTGATGAAGGGAATAGAATAAGAGTTATGAGGGGCAGCTGAGGGCACTGGGTTGTTTAAACTGGAGAAGAGGAGGCTGAAGGGAGACCTCACTGCGCTCTACAACTACCTAAAAGGAGGTTGCAGTGTGGAGTGTGTCAGTCTCTTATCTCAGATGACATGGTGAAATGGTCTCAAGTTGCGACAGAGGAAAATATACTGGATACTGTGAGGAATTTTTTCATTAAGAAAGTGGCCAAGGTCTTTTCCAACATAGATAATCCTGTGATTCCATGATAGCTATTCTAAGTACTTTTAAAAATACTTTGATGTGCATGGAAAGTACTGGTCACAGTCTGCAGTATTACTGTATATTCATCAAATACATCACCATTCTAGATCCTGTTGAGTAAAAAGTGCTCTCTTTGCTGTGTCTGAAGTTTAGCTAGAGAGGCAATGCATAATGCCAAAGATGTCTGCAATAGAAAGTAGACTCTGCACTTGTAGGTCTGCTTGCAAACAGAGATTGGCCCTGAGAGTACTGCTGGTCATCTGAACTAGAGGCTCTGTAGATACATTCAGTGAGAGCTACACTTTGCTTTTGTGCAGATTTCACCATCTGTCCTCTGTGATTCTTGTACATCGTGTTTTTTAACATCTTTTCATGAGAACTACGTAATGGAACATGACAAAATGGAACCCTGATCTTACCTCATACCTTCAAGTATTTCTGTCTTTTTATCTCATCTGAGAATTTGGCCTTGGTTCCTTGATTTTAGATTCAGTGATGATACTAAAAAGCAACAGAATTGGTGGAAAATAAACATTTTACCTTATAGCCCTGAGGAAACTGTAAGTAGAAGAAGAAAGTGAAAACACTGTTTACAACTAGCGTTTTTATTTGTAACTTAAATAGAAAAAATAAATGTTAAAGATTGCTTTACTTTGGCTGAATATTTTTAACCCCCTAATTTTGTGTAACAAGTGCCTTTCACTGCTAATGTGAACAAAAAAAAAAAAAAAAAAGAAAGAAAACAGATGACAGGCATTATTACAGTTATAGCGCAATCCAGGAGACAGTCAAAGAGGAATGTTTCTAGCCTGCAAATTAGAACATAAGCTATGTAGAAGTGCCTGTAATAATAGACTGAAACGTTATGTCAGCTGGATGTGGGAATGCTGCTGTTCTTCGTCCTTTGTCATACTAACTGAACGAAGATCTGATCATTTTTGTCATAACTCGGCCTCCACTCATAAGGTAAAAGGCTGGCACATGAATCCAACCCATTGTAGTGCTTTTCTGTACTGCTACAAAAAGGTTGCTGCTTGGCATTGTTTTGTCAGAGCAAATGCTGAACAGGTTGGGTGAGAGCTTCCAGCTTTTTGAATATTCAAAACTGTCTGCTTGGAAGAAAACCAAGGCCTGATGGCTACCGCTTTGAAGGACATTGGGTGTAAGTTCCCATTTCCAGCAGTCTTCAGGCTGTCACTGCAAATGCAAGAGTGTCTTAAATTTCTCTTAGTTATGAACTAAGACATGAGGACTCTATTATCCTTTATTTTTCTTGCCTTCTTAGTGTTTGAGTATTTCTAAACATGCACCCTATCACAGTTTGAGAAGTACTAAAAAATATACTAAATTTCCAGTGTTCTATCATTCTCCTCAATTTACTATTCTCACGTATACTTTCATATTACCTCATGCAATGGAGCTCTTATATGTGATACTTTTCAACTTCTAGTTCCCTACAAATAAAAAAAAATAATAATACCCACCACCCCGCACACCCCACCATCCCACCACTCCAGTTGGTCCAAACATGGGCTTCCTCAATTTTCAGAAATGCTGAACAGACACTACTTTGTTTTCTGTTTGTTTGTTTTCCATGTAATTTGTTGTAGTTGATATTTAAGACTACAAAGCTGAACAAAGAGAGTCCCACTGGACATATACAGGATGCATACAGAGCGTTGCTGATGCAACTTCTGAGAGCAGCAAATGCTTGCAGTTCTGTGAAAGTGTTTTTCTGC